TTACACACAAATAGTCTTGGGTGTGTCAGGTTTCAAACCTCTACTCACACGGCTTGATACGAAAGACCGCAACCAACTGCGCTATATACCTACACCCACTGATATGATTGTTTTAGTTTTAATTTTAATAAGGAAAGTCAAATTTCAATTTAGTTTTCCAAATTAGCAAGTGCTTGATAAATCAATTTACTTTTCCCCATTGCTCTTCAGCTTTTAATTCATTTTTAGTAATTCCAGCACAAATCAATTGTGATAAAAGTACCTTGCAACAAAAAATTGTGATAAAAGTAGCTACATTTAGAACCAAATTTTGCAATTTTTATTTTCTACAAAGAGCAATTGGAATGTCTTTGGAAATATTGTACATACTATTGTGGAAGTGAACAGTGACATTTCAAGTGAAACCAGAGAAGTCTATGAAGAATTGTATACCATAAGAAGAAATTTATCCACGCGGCTCTTTTTTGGGTTTTCTTTGTTGTTTTTAATACATTGTTAGCAACGAACATTCTCTATTATTTTCTGTCTGTAAATTTAACCTGTAATAGAAAGATTCAGAGATCAGGGTGCAATGGAGAATGGACAATTCCAAGCAATTAATAAAGGCGGTTTGATTGATGAGATACTCCAGGGCAAGAAACAAACGTATAAAACCAATTGGCAGCCCACATGAAAAAAAAAAAAATTTAGGATAACAGAAATAAAAATGACCTAAAACAGACAAACAAAATTAGTATATAATTAAATTACCATAAAAGAAATTATTATAGCACCTCAAATTTAGCAACTCTAGTATAAAGACCACTAAATTAATCTTGCAATGTGAACTTTTGAGCAGTGTAAAACTGATCATATTGTTTGTAAGGTGCATGTCCTCTGGGTTATCTATAGATGCTTTCTGTGTAAACATTGATGCTGTACTGCTAGAATTGATTTCATTCCATGAAAAATATCATCATTTCATTACACAATAAGATTTACACATCTCTGATATTTACACTCAATTAAGAGTTCGATTTAAAACTGATATTTGACCAGAGTCACCGTTCAACAAGAAAACCTCCAAAGGGACATAGGTGGAGGCTATTGATGATCCAAATCTGTAGGTAGGTTGCAGTAGTTTGCTTCCTTTGGCACACTGAAATGATCGAAGCCTCGGCCCAGTTCTCATCTGCCAAATCTGCATGACATTGCCACATGAGCAAACATATTTAAGTTAATCAAGTAAAACCAAGCTTGATCTTAATCAACTAAGGCAGTGGTTTAGCAAATGCACAGAGAAGGCCCCATCAGTCCAAAACTAAACAGAATTTTGTGATCGTACTTAAATTTGAACTATATGTTCTCTCTTTAATACATAATGATATCCATTCATTCTATCCTCGGGCCCCCATTATATGCAACTCATTCACATCATTTAAGTTAAATGGAAGAAGAGTGGAGCCCTGTCCCCATCATCTAATTTCGAACAAAACTTTCAAAAGCTTGCATAAAATTTTGAAATATGATTCTTAAGAACAACTAATGTATAGAAGGCCTCTAAAAGAATCAAGTATCAATTTTACATTCTATTTCTCTAACATGTATGCATGGACTGCTGTACAATACCTTCAAGATCCACAATCGTCCACATAAGACTCATAATAATTAAGGTAGAAAATGTATCTAGAGGAACTTATCACTTTACAGTCTATTCTTTGCAATTAAAAAATTTACTAAAGAGTTCCTGATACAAGTACCTTCAAGAAAACAGGAAAGATTTATTTGCAGTCTCACTAAATAGGAAGCTAGCAAAACAATGTAACTAAGAGAATGCAAAGGATCTTTGACTGCTTTAATGTCAGAAAAAGGAGATAATTTCTGAGGACATAGTAAAAGAAACTACCTCAACAATTCCTTTCCGAGGGGCATGAATAGCCAAACACAGGCAGTAATCACTCTTTGTAGTTTCATAATAACTAGAACCGGAAGCTGCAGTATCTTTTTTTGCCAGCATCTCCATGAATAGGCAACTAGCATCCCGATATCCCTGCAAATCGATTCAAACCACCATTAGGAAACAAAATGAAAGGAAAAAAAAAAGTAAAAATAAATTCAAGGATTCTGGGATAAAACCTTCCAGAGCCGCACTATAACAAGTGCTTGAGTGTCTAAAAGCAATATACGACCAAGTGAATCTGTAATTGCAGCCAACGTGCCACTAGGTGATAAGGTAAGCTTCTCACCCTTTCTTGGGAAATCCTTCAAACATGTCAATGGCGAAGCTGTCACAAATCACACTGCAGGTCAGCCAAAATGCAGTTGATAAATGATTGTACGTAGAATTTGAAATCCAAGAAGAAAAAACCAATTATAATAGTACCACAAAAAAATTAGATTGAATTTCTTTTGTGCTTACACTAAAGCATATCATATCACTCTTGATTGAATGTCACAAACACAGAAAAACTAAGGAATGTACTTTTTGTTCCACTTAGCAGTCCAAAAGCATGTTCAAGTGAATATATCATTTCTTGTTAATTATGTTTCAATACAATTAGCAAAGTTCCAAGAGCCAAGAAAGTAAGGAGAGCACAATAGTCATGCGAGTAGCAGACAGGGCCACCAGAGATACGGATGCATGATTCACCATTTCTCTATTCTTCGTGCTTATATTTTTGACTTTATAAGATCATGTCACTTTTGTGCACTTTTACTCAACCCCTCAGCCAAAAGAGTACTTTTGATTTCTAATTCCATTTATTTCATGTCTTTTCATCTGAGTCCATTGCTTTATTTGGTATTTGCATAATTTTATCATATTTTATTTCCTATAAATTTGCTATAGCCACAGATGCGCACATAAATGTAAAGATCTATATGTTTCCATAGATATATGGAAAAAGCATAAGGTCTTTATATAGAGGCAATGAAGTCAATCATCAATATAATTCAATGATCTCCTCCTCCTTTCACCAATACATTCGGGTGGAAAAACTACACAAATCAGTCAACAACATCATTAACTTTAAGTTAATAACAACAGTAAATTATTCTCACCTCGTGCAAATGGTTGAGGCTTCTCATCTGATTTTCTAGGTGAAGTCTGGTCACTCCGCCAAATCATTTTTGACAATGAAGCTATTGTCGAAAATGTTGCAGGCACAACTTTAGACAAGATAGCTCCCACCAAAGACCTATTTTTGTCTTCTGAAAGTCTTTATATGGAAAAAAAAAATATCTAATCATTAAATATACCAAAAGAACATAAGAAAGAGAGCACTTTGAATTGCAAAACATAAGAATAAATTTTACTAAGTGGGAAATTTTTGAATTGCAACATCTCATCACACTAACCTGAAGGCAGAAATCACTGCATCCTCTCCAACAGTGATTCCACAGTAATAATGTTCATTTGACTGCCCAACAATAAAAGCAGCTGAATTCAAATCCAAAATAACTTCAGAAGGCTTTCCATGATTTATAGGGAATTAACATCAGAAGCATTACTGCCAGGGAAAAATACAAAATACAAAAACGGTGGACAAGCATGGCAATAAGAAAAAATTGTAAATGTTACAGAAATAAATTTCGGTGCAATATATCCCCACTGTTTGACATCTTTTTATCTTTCAAGTCACTGGCGAACTCAAAAGAACTTATTCTATCAAGGTGGATCCTGAAGAAAGCATCAGAATATGAAAATAAGCAGGGTAATTCTACCTGGATTTCCATCAGTGGTGGAGGCATAATGCCAGTAATTGCTGCATCAGCACAGGTACCATACTTGCTGACACTCCATAACTGGTAAGGCAATTTACCATAAGAACGTCCAAAATCATCTGAGCTTCGCTTTCTGGGGATTGGATCCCAAAACTGAGACCGTGTTTCTTGAAACCACTGGTGCAGCATATTCTACATCCCAAGCATGTAAAGCATATTATTAGAACCCATACTGATTGCGCTCCTAAAAGGTAGAAGCAAACACGAAAATCAAACCAGAAAAGAAGGGGCAATCTGAAAATTTTCCGAGTCTCCAACAGTAAACACCCATACCATCTTGTTAACTTATAACTAAAAATACTTTATCTTTGCAATTCAGAAGGTGAAAGAGTGCAAAATTCAAGATAAACACTAACATGATTTACGCTCAAAGATGACATTACAGCTAAAACTCTTCATTGCTAGCAAGGCAAAAACACAAAAGTTTCTCATACCTGAATATCAGAACCATCAAAACGGGCTACTATGCCTGGCATAACAACACAAACCTCCTCCGAGGATGTTTCATGGCTCAAATCTCTCTTCGTTCCGCGCACTCTCAACCTTATAATCCGTGCAGGATATACCATCTGTAAGTACATAAATGAATCACAATGCCATACAAAATCATCATATTTACAAACCCAATATGCAAAAACTTAACGAACGGAATGAAATTTGAAACATTGAATGATAAATGTTCATCGACCAAACCGAATGTGGCAGCTTTACCTGTTTATGAATTAAATCACCAGCCAAAGAGAAAAAGAGGAGGGAGCCAGACGAAGTCCCGGCCACGACGACCCTTATCTCATCAAACACCAACCACTCTATAGCCGTGACGAACTCCGCCGAGATCGGGGACAATTCGGGTCGGATCTTGAGCCGGGTCGAGTCGGGCTCGGCCCACCCGAGAACTACAATAACGGAGCGGTTGGCGAGCGCGAGGGAGTGGGTGTCGAGGGCGCAAAGGAGGCTCGGGTTGTCGACGAGCCAGCCCTCCTTGCCAGCGCCGAGCTCGCCGAGCTCTTCGCAAGCTATGCTGCCCAGCTCTGTCGTATGAGCTCGCTTCGACATGGTTGATCGGATCGGGATCCAAGTAGAAGGAGCAAGACGAAGCAAGAGGAAAGAGATATCTTTGGGTTCTGCTTTGCGTTTCGTAATAAGTATAATAAAAACGTCGTCGTTCTCCGTTCCATAATAGAGTATAAGTAAACGACACCGTTTTAACCATCGTTTTGGCCATTAATGATGCATCTCTAAGACTAAACTGTAACACAGTTTTGGTGGTCGTTCGAGAAATCAAAAATGTTGAGCCAAGACCCCTCGCTCGCTAAAACCCTAAACCCTTCTCTCTTTCGCTTCACTCCATTTCCCAACCCTCTCCGCAAAACTCTAACACTTCAACCCATCAGCACCGCTCCTAAACGCCTCTGCATCAAAGCATTCTCCCAATTCCCTCAAAATTCCGACCCCAATTTCACATTTTCCCACCAAATTCCCCAACTCCGGCGGGACATCCGCTCGTTAGCCGGCCGTAGCAAGAAGAAGCCCGGAGGTGGACCGTCCCCGGGCCGAATCGAAGGTAACGCGGAGTTTCGCAAGGAGGTGAAGCAAAATGCTCGCCGGAAAAGCAAGAAGCTTGCGGAGTCCATGTTCTACCGACTCAAGAACCCTAGCCGGAAGTACGCTGATAACTTCACCGACGACGAGCTCCAGCAAATCGGGCTTGGGTACGACCGCATGGTCCGGTTCATGGAGAAAGACGACCCCAATTTGCGCCACCCCCATGATTGGTACAAGTACGGCGAATTTGGGCCTTACTCATGGCGTGGAGTGGTCGTCGGTGAACCGGTTCGGGGGAGGTTCACCGACGAGAGGGTAACGATGATTGGTGAAGTTAAGGACCAGGAAGAGTGGGAAAAGATTGAGCAATTTGAGATGGGTCAAGATTTTGGGAAGAGATTGACACAGTTGGACAGGAGCAAAGGGTTTAAGTACTTTTGGGTGTTTGTGAGGCACCCAAGGTGGAGACTTTCAGATTTTCCGTGGCAGCAGTGGACTTTGGTCTGTGAGGTGGTTGTGGAAGGTGATAAACAGAGGTTGGATAAGTGGAACTTGATGGGTAGGCTTGGGAACTTGACTAGGTCCATGATAACAAAATGTGCAGCTTGGATGAGACCAGATATAATATACGTGAAGAGGCCGGTTTATCAGTGTAGGTTTGAGCCTCAGGGTGATTTTTTCCGGGTGTTGGCGCCTTTTCTTGATCCGAAAACAGAGGAGGATTACTTATTTGAGTTGGAGAGAGATGATGGGAGTGTTGAAATGTGCACTTATTTTGGTGGGTTGTGTAAGATTGTGAAGGTGAATCAGAAGGCGTTTGTGGATGATGTGGTGAAGGGTTATGAGAAGTTGAGTGATGAAGAGAAGTCTAGGTGTTTGGGGTTTTTGCTGAAGAATCATCCGGTTCAGTTGTTGCATCCCTATACGAAGGAGTGGAAGGCTAAGTTGGAGGAGTGGGAGTTGGGTTGTGATGCTCCGGATGATGATGATGATGATGTCCGCAGTATCAATGTGGCTGAGAAGGAGTATACGGATTGGATTGAGGTTGATGAGGATAATAATGAGGAAGAAGATGTTGTTATGGAAATGGAAGATGGCGGAGAGAATGAATTTGGGGATGATAATGAGAACAGCAATGATGACGAGGAGGAAGATGATGGAGACGATGAATTGGGAGTTGAAGAAGAAGAGTTAGGTGAAGAAGAGGATGAGAAATATTGGGAGGAGGAGTTTCAAAAGGCGGTGAGTAGCTCTGATGCAATGGAAAAGCTAGCAAAACGGAGTGTAGAGGTAAATACTGAGTACTATAAGAAGCAACTGAGAGCAATGGAAAGGAACAAATATGGAAACTTGGAAGATGATGGTGATGAAACCGCCTTGAGGAGAAAACGACCGACTGTGAGCCCCGAAGAATGGAAGATGGCTGGGTATGGTCCATGGAGGAAAAGGATTAAAAAGAGTAAAATTCCTCCGCAACTGTTCTTGCGAGCAGCAGTTAGACCATTCAATTACAGAAATCTTGTGAAGGAGATTGTTTTGACTAGGCATGCAATTCTGGATGGTGACTTCGGTGCAAAGACTTGAAACAATATCATTTCATGCCTCTTGTTTGGATCACTGTATCGGCTAGTTTAGAAAATTACAGAGAGCATATGTATGTTATGAATTGATGATGCCTCTTGTTGTATGAAGTTGAAGTTGAGTGCAAGAGAGTTTTGGCATGGTAGTTTTGAATCAACTTTTGTTGAGCTGCAATCTGCCTTATTTCATATTTTCTGTATTTCTAATGAATTATCTTAATTTGCTGTAAGTTAATAATTAAATAAATGGATTCTTGTAAAATAAAATAAATGAAGATAAAAATAATTATTTTGTTTTATTTTTTTTACAAATTTATAAATAAACCCAATCCTAGACATGTATTTATAAAAAAACCCAAGCACTATTTAAACATAGAAACACACCCAAAATCAACCCCAAAGTCAACTTTTTGGGTGTATTTATAAATGAGTTTTGAGTGTGTGTAATGATGAGTTTTGGGTGTGTTTATATGTTTAAATAGTGCTTGGGTTTTTTTATAATTTCAACTCCCATTTTGGGTGTTTTAGTGAAACTCCCTATTTTTTTCTTTGGAACTACAAAGCAAAGCAATCAGCTATGGCCTTCGCTGCTTTTCTCTTGTTCTTGCACTAAAAAATGGCGGGAAATCCCTAACCCCAAAAAGCCAAAAACCTAACTTCCAAATGCTGACCATCCCCAATTTCCATGCAACTGCCGGTAACTGTATCTTCACCCATCTAATTCCCCACCTCGCCAAAACCCCTAACTCCGTGCTACTCTGTCTCCACACCCCGAAACGTTTCGCTCGTATCCGCTTCTCCACGGGACTAATGTCGTCTTCTTCTTCGACCCAAATATTGGCAGAGTACGCGAAATCGAAGAGGTCCTCCTGCAAGAAGTGCTCGAAAGCGATCGACGCTAAGGCTCTGAGGCTGGGCTTGGTCAGCAGAGACACGCGCGGTTTCGACGTGACCAAGTGGCACCACTTGGATTGCTTTAACTTCGGCTCCGAGTCGGTTGCTTCGGTCGAGAAAATTAAAGGGTTTCAGTCTTTGGAGGTTTGGTCCATTTCCAGTTTTGAGTTTTGCTTTGTTTGGTCAGTGAGAATTAACTTTGGCTTCTGTTTTTAGGAAAACAAAGAAAAATGAAGTTGAAGTTTTGGGTGTTTTCTAGTTCTCGCCTTTGTTTCGAGAATAATTAAGTAGCTAAATGAAAAATGAACTCATTTTCTTATAATAAAAAAAAATAAAAAAATAAAAAAAACTGAAAGGAGGAACATTTTGAAGTAATTTAGATTGTTTCTTTTTGGGAAGAACCAGGGTTGCATGTGTAAAGCATTGAAGTTTTGGTTTTCAAAATATCAATTAAAGATTGAGCTTTATTTTCCCTTTTGGTTTCTGAATTTTCTCTGCAATCAAACAGGACCTTTGAGTGTAATAGTTCTAATTAGTTTAGCAGACATGGTTTCAAGTTTCAGCTCTATTTGTTTATTGTCCCGCTTGTTTGTACTTTCAGAGTTGTGATCAGGAATCTTTGAAGAAATTGGTGGCTGCCTCGGATAAATCTCGAGGGGAGGTATGTGTTGATTTCCTGCTATTTCCTGCTGTAGATTGTGAATGAAGAAAAACAAAGGAAAAAGGAATAATATAAACTTACATGAGGGGGGCTTACAAGCCTGAAAGTCAGTGTGCGTGGTAACGAAGTATTATTAATCCTGAAAGTCAGTGTTGTGCTACAATAATGCGACTCAAAATTATTTCTTAATTTTATTTGTGCTCCTGCATCATTGAGGCTAAATTGAAGCTTGCTGAAAGTAAGATGATTGATGACAGAAAGAAGACAGAGCAGCCTAGATACTAAAGGTTTATGAGTATCCCATTTCAGAAAAAGAGGTATCAGAAGGCACCCAAAGCCTGGCCTCAACACAAAATTTTATTGTCAGGAGCTAAAATACTTCACTCATAATTATTCATAACATAATATGTATAGCTTATCTACACTCCATCATGTGAATGGTGAAACTGCAAACTTGAGGGACCAAATAAACTTGAAAGAAAACAACAACTTACAAAGATGAACCAAAACCAACAAATAATGCCCTAAAATAAATGACACGCATATTCTAGCCTGACCAATTAACTCACAAAACAATACAAAAAAGACCAATATTCCCTTGACTTGAATACCAGCATATTCCATCTTACTCAAATCCATTAGCATTTGTTATTATAGTATATTAACGAGGGAAATTCCCAAGTCAATTCCAGCCTTTTATTCTTTCACAATTCTTGGTGAAGTGAACCCTTTGGTCTATTTGTTTGATTTCTGCTCTACATCTTCTCGCTGAATCTGCTAGGTTATTAATGTCTTATTTGAAATACCTTTTTTTCTTTTTGGTAAAAAATAATATTGAATCTTGCAGGGTTCAAATGAAAGTACACACGTGGTTGAAGGAAAGGAAAGTTCTCAAGGAAAAAGAGTAAACATACCCTATTTTTGGCTTCCTTGTAACATGCTTTGCCAAAGGAAATTCCTGTGGTGATTTTTTATGTTTTCCTAATATAGGTTCATGAAGTAGATGAAAATGAAAATGAAGAAGAGGAAAGGAGCCTAAAGAAAGCGAAGGTATGCAGATGCCATTTTAGAGTAGCTAAACATATCTTTATTTGTATATATATCTCTTGGACTTGATTTGTTCATCTTGGATTTCTTCTACTTTACTCAGTGCGCTCTGAGATGCTGTCTGAAAATTTGCAGTCACTCTACTCTCATTGAATGCGAAATACCTTAGTGTGGTTCTTCTTATTTACTGCCTGATTCAAGCTTTTTATTCAGTTTTTGTAGACTCTTATTAAGTTTTCTGTTTGCTTCAGAATTGTTGTCCTCTACTATTTATTTCCATGTTTTTCCAGATTGCAATTCCTTGTTTCCTGAGTTTTGCTGTGTCTTTTTGTTTCTGTTCCTAAGTAGATTACAAATATATCACATGGACTGAATGCATGTTACTCGTACTATTCCTTCTTTTATTCCTGCATCAACATCTAGGTACAACTGCAACTCATAACTACTCAGGAACTCATTATATGCTTTATGCAGATTTGCTCATTTGTAATAATGAATTATGTTAAATAGGAGTTAAGCTATGCATTGTTTCTTGTCCTTGATATAACTTTCTATCATCAATCATTATTTGTTTTTTGTTTACAGTCATCTAAATGTGATGGACAAGCTAAGCTGGACATATCCTTTACAATTTCTGATGTGAAAGAAAAGTACAAGGTCTGATCCATCTCCTTACCTTCAATGTGCATCTGTACATTTTGTGGAATTGAAGAAACTTTTTGTGCTTCCTGAAAAATGTACCTTTCACCTTTGTTTTCTTTCATTGGAAATGTTTACTGGTGCAGGATGCAACTCTTTCACCTAAATGGAAGGCATTCCAAACAATCATATTTCTTGAACGGGTGAGACATTTATCTCTATTTGTAAAGGTTCTTTTAAAAAGCTTGTTTGATAATGAAAATCATTATAAGGGCTGATTTTATGCATACGTCGACGTGTTTGTCTATTTATTACTCAGGCTACTTTGTTCCACTAATAGTTTTATGAACAAAGTATTTTTATGTTGGATTTCCATTTATTTTTTTCATTAATTGCTTTTATCTGTTTTTCTTTCTTCCAACATAAAATGGTGCATATATATGTTCACTAATCACGACTTTTTATGATCTATAATTCTCAATTGTACACATGCAGTCATATGTTAGACCTACCAAACAAACTTCACTTGATAATTTTTAGCAGAGGTAGTTTAATGTTGTTCACCGGTTCGTTGTGTGCTTTGCTTTTTCACAGGATGATGGACTACATGATTCAAGTAAAATTGCTGCTTTTGATTTTGATGGATGTCTTGCAAATACTAATGTAAAGAGGTAGTGGATATTACTATTTTTACATTGGCATGAATGATATATGTACACATATATTATTCATGCCAATGTAATATAGTCCCCTTCTATTAAGAGATCCCTCAAATAAGAATATCATATCATAGGCTTTGATTTCTCATGCCCCATCAATCAAGTGAGAATTTTGTACTTCAATGGGATTGAAATTTTTCTTCTTTATGTTAACTGACTTCATCAATCTTGATTAAAAGGAAATCCTATGGGAATTATGAGTATATACTATATAGGCCCATGAGAAAGTCTCATAAATATCTCTTTTGAATGGTTTCGTACAATGTAAATGCACAAGTGAGTTTCATTTGTACAAAAGAAAGAAGTTCTCATTTGGCCTAGACCCCAGAACTATGGACAAGAATTTTTGTTGACAACCTAATATGCTGGTCTAATCTCAGGGTAGGTGCTGATGCTTGGTCCCTTATGTATCCTTCAATTCCTGATAAGCTACAAAGCCTGTATGAGGATGGCTACAAGCTGGTTTGTATTTTTTTGTTATCATATAAGCTATTGAAATTTGTACAGAAGTCTTGTGATTTTTGGACAGTTTGACATTCTCGTTTGTTTAGTTGTTTGGGGCTGCACTAATTGAAAATTTGACCACGTCAGGTAATTTTTACAAATGAGTCCAACATTGAGCGCTGGAAGAACAAGAGACAAGTAGCTGTGGACTCAAAAATTGGTCGGCTCAACAACTTTATTAAGAAAGTGAAGGTCCCAATTCAGGTCTTTCTGACTAACTTACATTGCCTACCTCACGTGGTTGCAAGATCCAACCATGCAATGGTCCATTTCTGATGCAACTGATAAATTCATCTTAAATTCTTAATCAGGAAGTCTGTTCACCCTTTGTGATAAGAGTCATTTGGTTGAACTACCCATATTTTCAAAAGGGGACAATCAGCCTTGGCAATAAGGAGAAAATAGTTTAGTAGTAATTTTTTTTTTAAGTTAGTACTTCAGCTTCTGACATGTAGAAAAAATTCAATATTGCATAAGAGTGTAGAATCTTATGATGAGAACAATTATGTAGAGAACTATGAAATGACACATTTTTTCCTTAAGAAAAAAATGCAAGGAGTATTGAAGTTGTCGCTGTCCAGGTTTTCATAGCTTGTGGCCTTGGAAAATCTGGTGGTCAAGCAGAAGACCCCTTTCGCAAACCCAAGCCGGGGATGTGGCATATATTGGAACAACACTTCAACTCTGGCATTTCCATTGACATGGATCAGTAAGCTCTTTTCTTTTCTTGTTTGGTTACCATATCACTATTCTGCACATAGGAAGAGAGACAGAGAATTGCTACCTTATTAATCAGTGTAGTTTTGTTCGTTTCAATAGCAATTATTATCGAAAGGATGGGATCAATGAGATTATAAAAGCTTTTTCTGTCTGCATTGTAGATCCTTTTATGTTGGTGATGCAGCTGGGAGAAAAAATGATCACAGTGATGCTGATATCAAATTTGCGGAGGTACTAATATCCTACATTATGATATTAAATTATGACATGCGTGGTTTAAAGTTTTATGTCCCAGTGGAATACTTTGGTGTTTATGGTTGTTTTTTTTTTCCTTTTGCAGGCCGTTGGTTTAAAATTTTATGTCCCAGAGGAATACTTTGGTGTTTGAGCAAGGGACGTTGACGTCGAAATTATGTTGCCCCTCAGCCCCCAATTTTAGAAAAAGAAATCTGTATCATGTAATTATTATGTAGTTGGCCTTTCTCGGAAGTTACTAGAACTTTTGTTTTGCTTAGAAGTAGTATTTTTTGTTCCTTGCTAGGAGGTTCTGTTAGCTTATGTCATGACTGAATGCTGCTCTAGCTTAACATCCAAAATTACATCTGCCGAAAAGCAAAAATTTCTCTGCAGATTCTGTTGTAGCATTGTAACATGCAGTTTGATAGTTCAGTTCTCCATTGTGATAGATAGATGTTCTCCTCTTTAATGACATTAATGTAATTTCAAAAACAAAATCAATGATGGCTTTTCTGGCTTTACGAGGGAATTATCTGATAAAAAATTAGAACGAATTTCCTTTTGGCTAATTATTATTATTATTATTAAATATTTAAGTACTGAAAAAAAAGATAAACCAAAAATCTTAATTTAATTGCGTGTAGTTTGAGAGCCTTGAGCAAAACGTGGCAGCATCCCACAAATCTTAAATCCCATGCAATACGATGTTGTCAGATGGAACTGAAGCAAGCAGCAAGCAAACGACTAATGAAGAAGACCAATCAGCAAGAACTGGAACTGAGTGTTTTGTTTTTTTGGAGACGTTGAGACTTTGAGAGAGATTCAATTGCTGCATTTTCACAACCACCACCAAGGCAACAACCAGCTACAAATAATCAACCCTAACCAGAGCAATGGATCCTTACTTCGAACAGAGACTCAGAGATGAAGTCATCTACCTCCACTCTCTCTGGCACCAAGGCCCCCCCACCTCCTCTAACCCTAACACTAACCCTACAATCAACAACCCCAACCCCAATTCATATCCCAATCCCACCAACACGTCAAACAGGAAGAGAAACAGGAAGGCAAGAAATGAAAGAGAAAGGCCCAACAAGAAGAAGCCCTCGCAACCCGACCCGCCTCCACATTCGGGGCCTCCTTGGCCCTGCTCGACCCCGATCCATGACTCCACTCCCGGTGCATCATTACCGTGGCCCACGAAGCCCAATTCGGCTCCGGCAACCCACCGTCCATCGCCAGAAGAACAAGCGAAACTCGCCGCGCTGAAACTACAACACAATGCCTTGGACGCTTGCCGTGGATTGTTTTTGGGCAATGCCGGGTCGGATAGCGAGGAATCCGAATCCGAACCTGAGGAGGACGAGAGTGGAGATGGAGATGACTATTGGGTTGAGGGTGGTGAGAGTGAAGTGTACAAGGTGTTGTTGAATGTGTTCGTGGAGAAGAGTGAGCTGAGGAGTTACTATGAGGTGAATTATGAGAATGGGGAGTTCTATTGCTTGGTGTGTGGTGGGTTGGGAAAGAACAAGTGGGTGAAGGGCTGTGCTGGCCTTGTTCAGCATTCGATTTCGATATCCAACACAAAGAAGAAGCGGGCTCATAGGGCTTTTGCGCAGGTGGTTTGTAGGGTTTTGGGTTGGGATTTTAACCGGCTGCCCACAATTGTGCTCAAAGGTGAAAGGCTTGGTCTTTCGTTGGAAAAGCCCGGCCAGGAACGAGTAAGCTTTGTCTTTATTTGCTTGATGTTGGTTTGTTGTGGTTGTTCTTAATATTTTATATGAATTTGGTTGAGTTGTGAATGTTGCAGGGTGAAACTGAGGTAAATGCTGGTTCCTCTGAGGGTGTTTCGGTTGTTGTTGAAGACAAAGTGGCAGCTGAAAATGATGCTAATGCTGAATACGATGAAAAAGAGACATTTGATGAACATCAGAATAAGGGTAAACTACTAATGATTTGTGAGGTTAGTTATGTCTATCACTTTTTAAATTAGTTTTTGGTTCTTGAGTTTTACACGAGTATCAGAGACTACTTTTTAATTTGATTTGGGATATGTTGTTTCAGAACTCTCTGAAATATGATGATACAAATGAAAGCACAGAAAGGACTGAAAAGGGAATCCCAGAAATGGAAGCAAACAAAGAAGCAGTAGATACTTGGGTAAGATAATTGCGTTTAAAATGAACTGAATTCATAACTTCCTTTACAAATGAACTGGTTTTCTTTTATTATATTTATTTTTTAATTTTCCATGATGCAGGATGTGTTCTTTCAGAATTCTTTCAAAGATAATGGTACAAATAAAAGCTCAGAAAGCATTGATAAGGGAATATCAGAAACCGGAACAAACAAAGAAGCAGTGGATACTTCTGTAAGATATTGCTATTGAAATGAACTGCATTGATAACTTCAGTTACAACTGAGATGATATTTTCTCTTCTTTTTTGTTTAGGGTTTAGTGAACGATGGCATACTCATTGTAATGCGAGGCCTTAAATCTCATTTTCTGGAGCCTACAAATGTTTTTTTAACTCACTTTTAAAGAAAAAAAATATATATATAATGTAGGAAATTGATCAATCACTGGTCTCAAAGACTGAATGGCCATGTAAAGAGTCCAGTGTTTCCTCGTCAACAGTGTTAGGTTGGCCGACCTTTAGTTCTCACTCGGCTTCTGCAACATGCTCCATTCCGGTGGAAGAACAAGCAAGGTCTGCTACATTGTTGTTACAGCAGAAGGCCTTAAAAGAATGCCAGGATTTCTTTGCTGGCTACAGTGGTGAAGACATCAGCGAAGATGAGGATGAAGGCGATTTGATGGATGAAGATGGGTCTGACGAAAGTGAGGAATTAAAGTTCTTTTCAAAGATATTTACAGATCATGGCGAGTTAAGGAGTTTTTATGTCAATAATTACGAAAATGGGGAATTTTACTGCTTGGTTTGTGGTGGGGTAGGGAAGAAGGTATGGAAGAGGTTTAAAGGTTGTGTGGCGCTTCTTCAGCACTCCACTGCAATATTAAAGACTAGGAAGGTGGCTCATAGGGCTTATGGCCGGGTTATTTTTAAGGTCCTTGGTTTGGATATTGGTCAGCCTCCAACTGTTGGGTCTAAAGATATACCTCTTGATGATGGACCTTTGGCAAAGTCAGACAATTTGCAGGTAATTATTGCATGTGTGATATGTTTATATAGAGTTGTTCCTGAATTCTATAAGCGCTTTTATTGAACATTGCAGGGTGAACTGGAGGAAAATGCTGATGATCACAAGGATAATGTTGTTGTTCTGAAGGAAAACTTGGACTCTGTGAGTGATCATATTGGTGAAACAGTTTCAAAGCAGGAATATGATGTTGTTCAGACTACTAGAACATCAAAGACATGTGAGTTGCAGGTGAGTTCCATTTCCATTGTTCACTCCTCAACAATGTCATATACTGAGTCACAGATTATTATGTCATACGAAATATGTGTACGTACATCATAGAAGCATAGTTATTTGTTCCTGAATTCTGTAAGTTGCCTTTGATTGAAACCTTTGATTGAACACTGCAGGGTGAAGTGGAGGAAAATGCTGATGATCACAGGGATATTGCTGCTGTTTTGAAGAAAAACTTGGACTCTGTGAGTAATCATAGTGGTGAAATAGTTTCAAAGGAGGAATCTGATGTTGTCCAGAGTAATGGAGCATCAAAGACATGCGAGCTGTGGGTGAGTTTCACTCAGTTGTTCACTCAACAAAGTCGTGCTGAGTCACAGGTCATTATTTTATGCGTAATATGTTATATACATCATAGATTCATAGTTCGTTGCAGGTGAGTTCCATCTCCGTTGTTCACTCCTCAACAAAGTCATGTACTGAGTCATATTATTATGTCATGCATAATTAGAATCATTTGTTCCTGAATTCTGTAAGTAAGTTACCTTTCATTGCTGCTGTTTCGAAGGAAAACTTAGACTCTATGAGTGGTCATAGTGGTGAAATAGTTTCGAAGGAGGAATCTGATGTTGTCCAGAGTAATGGAGCGTCAAAGACATGCAAGCTGCAGGTGAGTTTCACTCAGTTGTTATCTCAACAAAGTCATGCTGAGTCGCAGGTTTTTTTTATCCGTAATATGTGCATATACATCACAGATTCATAATTAGTTGTTCCTGGATTACATAAGTTGGTTTCATTATACATTGCAGGGTGAATTGGAGGAAAATGGTGATGATCACAAGGCTAATGCTGTTGTTTCGAAGAAAAGTTTGGGCTCTATGAGTGGTCATAATGGTGAAATAGTTTCAACAGAGGAATCTGATGTTGTTCAGAGTGATGGAACATCAAAGACAAGTGAGTTGCAGGTGAGTTTCAACTGAAGTTGTTCTCCTCAGCAAAGTCATGCTATGTCACAGATTATTATTTCATTCATAATATGTGCATATGCATCATAGATTCCTAGTTGCACCTGCGTGTTATAACATGGTTATAATTGAATATTTGCAGGGTAAGACTGAGAAAAATGCGGGTGGTCCCAACGAAGATTTGAATGTGTTTATGGAAAATTTAGACCCTTTGTGAACAGTGATAATATTGACTGAGTTTCAGGTGACTTTTTCATGGTTGTGATATATACTTTGCGTCATAGTATTACGTTGCTTTTATGGAACCTTGCATGACAAGCCTGAGAGAGTTGAGCATGGTCACAATCAAGATTTGGGTATATCATCGAAGATTCAGACTCAATTTTTGTTAGTGTTTGACACATTCTGTTATCCGTCAGAATGATGAAAACATAAGCAGTCTCTGCGGTTGTGCAAAACTAAATTCTTAGCTTTTCGTGAAGAAAAGAAGGGAATGTGAAGTCATACTTTTAATTTGCGATAAGTACTGTATAGATAGGGTTCTACTCTTTCAAAGAAGGACAAGCATCATTGGAAACAGTAAATCTATAATGAAATTCTATCTTGGCACTGATGTATTCTCTATATATTTTCTCAAGAGTATTGTTACTATTAAGAATAAATTAATATTGTAGTTTCTTTTAGTAAAGCATTAGCTAGGTGACTCTTCAATTCATAACTTGAATATGTACGCTACAATGTGAAGAACCAATTAGAGTAAAATTAAGATCTAGTGCCGACGGTGGCATTTGCAGAAGAGAGACTGAAATATTGGATCAATTTGTTTTGTATATCAGTAGATCCCCCCGACTCACGAATACTGAACCCGAAATGTTGAAGTTGGGACCTCTAGCTCCAGCCCCAGACCGATCTGAGCTCAGAGTTGGTTTTTATTTCTCAGTTGACTATTAATTTTTTTTTCGAATTTTGATCAGTAAGTCATAGTGCCCTTCATTAAAAGTCAATCCAAAGGATTGATATATGTCCAACCTGGTTCTAAAAGCCTAACCAGAAGAGTGGAAAAAAGAATCTTCCATGTTATTTTTTCCAAAGCCATTCAAATACATGACGTGACCGCAAAACTACGACAACAACCTTCAAATCCGCATCCTTCCAATTATTTTGAAAATTTACATAAAATTATGAACCACCGAAGATTTCAACAGCAACCCATGACATAATCATACAAAAGCAACATTTACAATATAAGCATCCTCTGATCGAAACATAACCATTGAATTCTCTTTATGTAGAGTGGAGCACATAAATGGAAACATCCAAAGGCACCAGCACCAGCTTCTTAAATAAAAGATAAAAGAAACAAAAGAAATTATATTACTCACAAGCCAGTTTTGTGCCAAAGCTGGTAAGGCAAATAGCAAATGCCTGGAAGGCTGACAAGGGCTGCCTATAATCCATCGTGAACGTATCATCACCCACTTTTCCAAACTGAAGAACCGTTTCCTCGTCTCCTTTCCCCCCTGACTGGCTTGGGTCCACTGTCGCAACCAGTTGAAAGTTCTTCACTGATGCTACTGTGACCCGACCATGGAAATTCAAACACCAGCACTGCAACTGATCATGCCATCTTGGAGCTTTATTCCTCAAGATGGTGTAGCCAGAACTGGTAGATTCTGGTTTCTTCATCTTGGATTTTTCCAAAGGTTTACCAATTGCAGTTTCACCTGATGGTGGGCAATTAAGCGGGCAGACCATCCTCCTTGGACCTCTTGATTTTAGAAGGTTGAACTTGTAAGAGACCTGCCCAACTTCAAAGTTGCCTGCTGGAACTTGGGGGCTTATTTGCTTGCTTGCGAAACGGCGGGTAGACCGGCTGCTTGCAGGCTTTGCACCAGTATACGGCGGCTGGCTGTCATAGATTGTAAAATTGGTGCCCAGAAAATCCGAGCTGCAAAAGGGTTTGGCGTTAATAAGAGTGCAGATGAGAAACGGGTTAACATTGAAATTTGTTCTTGTAATTCAATAGATCTTGAAATATGACTGGTTGGGGGTTTAAAAGAACACAAATTTTGAGACCATAAAATTTTGGTTTCATCGTAAAGTCAATTGACCTTTACAGTCCAATTTCTCTGAAATGCAAACTAATGAAAACCCAGTGTCAAACTGGTTCAAAATTGTAATCACATCAACCTAACTTGGTACTGGACTGAAAACTCTTATAGGTAGTTCAAAATATAGTTCTCAACATATGAAGGTCCTTAAACCAGAAGACATTATATGTTACTACCCACTAAAAACGATCAGAAGGAACTACATCACATAATCAATCACCTTAACTCTCTTCAGAAGAATGCCTTACCTTAGTTTTCCCACATAAGCATTGCTTCCTTGGGATATGTCATCGGCATCAAGCGATATAATATACTCAGTGTGAGAGCCACGCCTATATCTTCGTGCTGCTAAAAGAAACTTTCCTTTATCTGTGAATGCTGGGAAGGAGAGAGAAAAAGAAATATCAGAGCACAAAAAAGAAAAATAACCATTAGCATGTCACAAACCACTCACAAAGTGCCAAATAAAACAAAACATCAACTGCAATACATACAATACAAGAATTAATAAGGAGGCAACATTTATCTATAGCCTCAATTTATGCACAACCAACACAATACCATAACAATAATTTGTTTATGTCAGTAATCTAAAATCAGACAAATTTCTCAGACAAAAAGAAAAAACAGTAACTTAACTTCACAAACTTATAAGTGTATTTAATGAGTATCTTTCAGCATTGACTAAGTGCCGTTCAATAATTTCTTCAGGCAAGCAATACCCGTTTAAAACTTATAGGTTATATTAAAGGTTTAAACTAAATCGATATCTGACATTCAATTCAAAATCATGTAAGACCAGGAAACTAAAGTTTTGTTCAACAAGTCTTAGACAGATCTTGCTGAGTCAAGTCAACTTAGGAATTTAATCACCAGCCAAAAGTCTCCATTTTGTAGTTAATGAAAAGTCAACTTAAAGGTTCAGACCACGAAAATTGCCCCTTTTGAATATGCCTTCAGTGACTTGCAGGTCAAAATTTGAATTAGTAAGAGTAAAACAGCTTCTGAAGACATATAGGAGGAAGTCATTCCAGAAGTTGTTCTCATGTACATACTCACATGGGGTGAATGCAAGATAAAGGTAAAATGTTGAGGTCTTCTTGTTTCGTTTTATTAGACATTGATGGGGAAAATCGCATGGTCCTGGCTGCAAGAATCACAAAGAAATAAGACAACCAATTGCAAATCAGTTATTATAAACCACTAAATTCAATGAATCACTGAACACGACAATAATGTCAATGACAAACCAGAAGCAACTTAGTTCAAAAACTTCAATCTCTCTTCAAGAAATGCCTGAAAACACAGCTAACCAAATAATCTTCATAGTTCATTCTCTTTTATATGTAAGGACTACGATTAAGCTTCTTTCATTATCTAAGAGTAACAATAACAATAATCTGCCAGAAAATTCATAATTTCTGCAATCACAACATCAACAGGTTAGATTTTGTTTTGCAAAACACAAACATAACTTATTTATAGGGAAACCCATAAAATTATTGTTTTTAAGACACACAAGACAATGAAATCAAATTTTACGAACTTCTTTGAACTTTGTGGCCAGTGCAGATAGTGCTTTTAAATTCCAAATTTTCATTTAACGGATAAACTAATTCGAAAGGGGAAACCAAAACAGCTCCAAAATGGGGTAGAACGTTGAAATTCGGTGTGTTTTTATATCATGCACCTTCTTCAAAACTTACTCGAAAACTTCTGAGTTACGCAAATTCACTCCAATCACAGATGAGCCCCATTATGAATTTGCGACCCTCTAAGGTTTTAAACCATTTCCAACTCTTGATTTTGCCATCATCCAAGAAAAGTTTATCATCATTTCAGATTCTAATAGTGAAATTGCAGAAAGCAAAATCCTCCACTAAATTAGCAAACTTTCAGACAATCCTGATCGATCTCCTACGGAGACTATTCAAATCGCAAACTAAAAAAACCTAAATACTATTTCAAAAAATAATTCAATCAATCGAAAATGATATTGCCAAGGGAATACCTGTTTAAGGCAAGAAGGGAAGGTAATTTTGCCACTGTAGGAAGGCGAGCGCACGATCTGCTTGGTAATATCCCTCCACCGCTTGCAGACACAGGCGCAAGCGACGACGTTTTGGCGGTTAGGCCACTTGTCCTCGCTATTCTCCACTCTCTGTATGATCTCGCCGAGGAGCTCCGGGAGCATAGTCGACCACGAGGACGATGACGACGAGTCGGCATAGTCCGCGACTCGGTCCAACTCGGCCGAGTCGCCGCGCGCGACTCGGCGGTCTCCACCACGCGCCTGATCATCGTCTCGCAATTTCAATTCTCTAAACGATTTGGAGAATTTCCGAGAGAGCAAGGCTTTCCTCAGAGACATGGCTTGGGACTGGGGCTTAGGGTTAGGGTTAGGATTTCGTAGACATTGGTAAAGAGTTTTTTTTCTTATGGAGAGAGGAAGAGCGAGGGAACGAGAGTGGTCGATGATGAATATGAGAAAATAAAAAATGATTTGTGGTAAATTGACAGGCTGTGACGGGTGAGAGTTGGAAGCCCAATAAGGGAGTGAGGATGCGACAGGTGGAAGTTGTGGAGACAGATGTAAATTGGTGTTGGATGACGGGACTGTGAGATTAGAGGTGTAATGAAAGGGTGGTGGGAGTTTGACTTGGTCAATTCAACAGAATAGATGAAGCCGCAAGCGGCAAAAGACTGTGACCAACCAGTAACTCGTTATCTCGAACGCGTCTCCAATTCTTTTTTTCTTTTCTTTTTTTGGTGTGAAATCGCTTGCTGTTACTCACTTTAAACCCCTGATAATTTTTTTAAAAACAAAATTAGTAAAAAATTATTGAGAGATTCACTATTATACTCAATATATGGGCTCAAATCATATAAAAGTCCTATATGAAATGTATTTTAAAAACACAACCACAGCCTATTTAAAATTTAACAAAGAGACTTCGAACTTTTTATAAATTACAAAACTGCCATCAATTTCTTAAAACAAGCACAATCCTAAAATCTCATTAAAAAAATCTGAAATACTCAATAGATTATTAAAGTAATTTAATAATTAAAATTAAATTAAATAAGGCCAACTGTCATTTTTTGAAATTTTTATTTATTTATAGAAATTAAATGGTGTATGATTTATCAATATTATTAGTGCTAAAAATGGATATACTACTAAATATCTAAAAAATATTTTTATATTTTTTAGATATTTCTAGTTGACCAACAAAATCAATGTTAATTTTTATACAATTTAATTTAGGGCTTTTTTTTTTAACTTTTAGCCAAATTGATGTTAATTAAGATTTTTTTTTTTTTTGGTATGACAAAATCCACTTTTTTCTCATTTGTAATTTTGCTGCCAACATGTAAAGAAGTATCTCAACAATACTTAGAAGGATGGAAAGATTTCACTCAACACTTCACTAAAAATGAATACATTAAAATTAATCAATTACCCATCAAATTCTTAACGGTACACATAAGCAAAATGGCCAATATCACTTGCCTATCAAATCTCACTCTCACACCACCACTCATACCAACCTTAAAAACTGAATGAAAATCCAGAATGAATATCTAACTACACATGGACAAGTAATCCTAAACTCCAAAATAATAGATGGAATACAAGTTAATAAGTGCCGAAGCTATAAGTAATTTGGTTTTCTCCAATATCTCACTTAACTAAAATCATATCAAGCGTATCAAGTGGATGTGCACCTCACTCCGCACTCGAGTTCGAATCCACATTCCCGTAATTTAGATTAGACAAAAGTAAAATATTGTTTGCATAACAAAAAATTTGTCCCAAGATAATTGATCAGACTTCTAATTCTCCCATTTTCAACTTAACAAAAGCTAGAATCATGATCACCTTTCCTTTATCCATTTATTAAGCATCAAAAGGATAAATTGAATGACTACGTTAGTCATGCTAATCTGACCCCCCCAATCACAAAGAATGAATGCCTATTTCATTGATATAAAAAAACAGAGAGAGAGAGAGAGAGAGAGAGAGAGAGAGAATGGTAAGACAGTAAAAATGAGAAAAAGACAGACAAGGTGAAACCTTTTGCTCAAAGCAAGGTTGAATTAAGATCTCTCCATCCCGTAGTTAAAGAAAATAAGTTGGAATATTTTATTGTGAAAAATAACAAAAATGATTATTTATTTTTGAGGTGAAACCATGGTTCTTCTTATCGAGAGGCTGTGCAGGGAGTACCCTCAGCACGACACGTCATCCATGCAAAAAATACAAGTGTCCGCATGCATGGCCTTGGACGCTCATACGAAGACACGTCGAAATATATCTTTAATTGCCATCAAACTTTGCCCTTTGACGAAGCTTTTTGTCTCCTTTGTTTCACTTGCATCCTGTTTCCTTGTACGAATCATTCAAATTAAACAGATCCAACGGTGAATCCAGTACGAGTCTTTTATTAACCAACGGTGCTGATTGATGATACGAAACACAGCAATATCCATTTTGTTAAACAAAAAGAAACATTTTAAACAGCCTGCATAGCTGCAAACAAAGTACAAACGCGTACCCAATTGACATCCGCCAACGAACAATAACCACCGTCCGATCACAATCAAGATGATCAGAAAAATCAGACATTCCCACGTTGACGGTCCTGATTCATTCCCCAGCCACGGACCCCAAACTGCAACTCAGCAGCAGCAATCAAAAACTCCACAGCCTGCTGTGGTGTCAGCAACTCCACCACCTTCCTCACCGTTCTCAGCCTCAGATCATCCGCCTTCTTCAACACGCTCACCAGCCGACCCATCTTCATATCCAGATTCGTGCATGCCCCCATCAGCTCACTCGCCCCCTCTTGCCACTCCGACAACTCCTCCGATATCGCATTCTCCTCCTTCACCTAGACAACAAACAAAGCAATTAATTAAGTGAATTACAAAAAATATCGGGCTGATAAGTACAAATAAAGTTTTTGGAAGAAGAAATTCAACACATGACATGCAGAAGAACACAGAACATGCAGAGTTAAATGCTCTTAACCATTTGAACGTTAGTTATAAATATGAAATAGGGAATGCGGTTGTTAATGTTGGTGGTTAATTTATAGGGTGTGCTTACAGTTTCGCATTGGAGTTCGCTGACGCGGCGGAACTGGGAGGGGGAGAGGTCCCCGAGGTCTCCGGTGCAAAAACCGCGGAGGATATCAACGATGTGGGCCT